AATACTGGAGTGGCTTGCCATGCCCTCTTCCAGGGGATCTTCCCAAGCCAGGGATCAAACCCAGGCCTCCCACATTGCAGGCAGATTCTTTACCAACTGAGCCACCAGGGAAGCCCAAGAATACTGGAGTGGGCAGTGTATCCCTTCTCCAGGGGGTCTTCCTGACCCAGGAATCCAACTGGGGTCTTCGGTATTGCAGGCGGATTCTTTACCAGCTGAGCTACCAGGGAAGCCTGTGACATGCCTGTCAAGTATCTATTCAATTTTTCTATTGTGTTGCTTTTAAAGAAATAATTCCTCTGTTTATAGTGTCTTTGAGGAATAGAAGTTTGTAACTACATACATTTATTTTGGATATTATCATTTATTGTATTCTTTACCTCTGTTCTCTTCATTATATTTTATCTCTGTTAAAATTTTCACTGTTCCTCCATTCTCTTCTTGAGTTCATTGAGCATCTTTATGATTATTACCTAACTCCCTATAGAGTAGATTGCTTATCTCCCCTTTGTTTAGTCCTGTTTCTGAGGTTTGGTCTTATTCCTTTCTTTGGAACATTCTCCTTTGGAAGCACACTCCCCTCTAGTCACTGGAGCTATTAATACATGCTTTAGGGTGTAACCCCTGTGTGGGCTGCACAGGTCCTCCTGTTTTGGTGAGGCCAGCTGCTGCTGGTGCACTAGGAGACAGAGCTGTCCCCAGACCAGTTGCTCGCCAGTCCTTCTCTCATGAGTAGCTGCTGGCCTGCTGGTATGTGCGGTTGGGTTCTAAGCTGGCTAGCTATGAAGCTCAGGGTATTTCGGGACTGGAGATGGTCTGCTCACAGGCAGGGCAGGATCCTGGTATGACTGGGCATCCCAGGGGGATAGGGTCTGGTTCTGGCCCACTAGTGGGTGGTAAGCCCCTGGCACTAATATGCTAGAGGAAGGACTCCACAGTAGTGCTGGCAAGCACCACTGTCCTCATGATAAAATGAGCTTCTAAAAAATGACTGTTGCCAGCATCTGTGTTTCCAGCAGAAATTCCATTTGCCTCCCACCTTTCTAGAAAGTTCTCCAAGATTAGCAAGTAGATCTGCCTCAGACTTATTTGAAATTACTGCCTCTGTACTGGACCCATAGTGTGTGAAATTTCTCCTGACCCTTTTAAGAGCAGAGTGTCTGTTTTGTACAGCCCTCCGACTCTACTGTAGGGAAGCCCAGCTGGCCGGATGCTCTGGGGGCTTGTCTTCCCTTCTCAGTTAGTGCCGGCTCCCCAGGCTGGGGGGCCTGGTGTGGGGCTTGGGCACCTCACTCCTTGGGGAGAATTTTGTAATTGTGATTATTCTTCTGTTTATGGGTCACCCTCCTAGGTGTATGGATATTAACTATGTTGCATCTCTGTCCCTCCTACTGCCTCATAGTTCCTTCTTTTTATCTTTAGTTGTAGAAATCTTTTCTGTTAGTCCTCAGGTTGTCCTCATAGATAGTTGCTCTGTAAATACGTGTAATTTGGGTATCCTTGTGAGAGGAGATGAGGTCAAAGTCACCCTATTCTGCCATCCTTGTGACACCCTCCTTAAGCTCTAGGCTGCTTTATTCTTTTGCCTTTTCTGTCTCCTCTGGGAATTACTGCTATTCCCTTGCTATCCTCGTAGACGTGAAGTTTTTGCCCAGCTGTATGTTCTGTAGTTTGTATTTGAATTTGTAGAGGTTTTGTTGTTTTAGAAGTATACATTTATATTATAATATTGTGTATTCTTTTAAAAACCATATATTGCTTTGTAATTTGGTGTAGTCACTTTGGATAACAGTATAGAAGTTCCTTAGAAAACTAAAAATAGCTTTATCATATGATCCAGCAATCTTTAACTATATCCAGACAGAGCTATAATTCAACAATACCCATGTACTGCTATGTTCAAAGCAGCACTATTCACAATTGCCAAGACATGGAAACAGCCTAAATGTCCTTCAGCAGATGAATGGAGAAAGAAGACGTGGTACATGTGTAGAGTGGAATACTACTCAGCCATACAAAAGAATGAAATAATGCCATTTTCAACAACATGGATGCAACCAGAGATGATTATACTAAGTCAGAAAGAGAAAGACAGATTCCATATAATATCACTTATATGTGGAATCTAAAATGTGACACAGGGGAACCTATCTATGAAACAGAAACAGAATCATGGACATGGAGAACAGATTGGTTGTTGCCAAAGAGGAGGGAGTTAGGGGCGGAAAGGAATGGGGGTTTGGGGGTAGCAGATGTAGGCTTTTATATATGGAATTGATAAGCAGCAAGGTCCTGCTGTATGGCACAGAGAACTGTGTTCAGGATCCTATGATAAACCATGATGGAAAAGAATATTTAAAAAAAGAACATAGATATGTATAACTGAATCACTTTGCTGTATAGCAGAAATTAACACAACATTGTAAAGCAACTATATTTTAATTAAAAATCCCATATACTTCCTGTCTTTTCCAAATCCCTTTCTCAAATTAAAATTTTGATTTTTTTTTTGTCAATCTTTTTGCCTCATGCCATAAATTTTGGAAAATTATTAGGCTACTTCCTTTGTTTCAGTTTTTAGTATATCAGCATCAGTAAGGTATCTGATCTAAATTAGAAATGTTGACAAGTATTACCAGATAGCCATTTGAAACACGAAGAAGTCTTTTGATCACTTCCATTCATGTAAGATTTTTTTTTTTTTTTTTAAGCACTGCTTACGTTCTTTCAGGTCACCAAGGTGCCTTACAACCAGTGCGTTATTACTGAAGTTTTACTTATTTAGTTTATTATCCTATTACACTGTTTAACTAAAAGGTTTGTTGGGCAGTGAAACAACCTAGTTTATTTATTTATTTTTTAATGAAACAACCCAGTTTAAAGTAAACTTTTATTTTCATGTCAAGAGCTGTGAAGGGTTTGAGATTTTATCCTACTCTTAAGCTAACAAGGGTCATAAGTTCTTACAGAAGACATAGTATTCCTGGGTCAGAGTCAAAGGATAGACAGTTACTTATAGCAACAGAAATAGCCAGAGCAGCAGAATTTGCACCAGCTTCTGGAGCCTCACTTTTCCCAGAGAGACACAAAGAAGACTGGGTGACATCTGAGTCTGTATGAGGTGGCGTTACAGGAAGAGAACCCTAAGTTTAGGGTTTTGTAATGGGCAGTAAGTATATCTGCCTTTTGCTTTGGAGGGAGGCATTCTATCTTCCTCTATATAAGCATCCTTGAAAAGATAGTCTATAAGAGAGGCAGTTAATGCTGGAAAGATAAGTAGAAATTTGAGAGACATGAAGAAGAATTATCTTTCAGGGACTTCCCTTGTGGTCCAGTGGCTAAGACTCTGCACTCCCAGTACAGGAGACCTACCTAAGTTCAATCCCTGATCAGGGAGTTAGATCCCACATGCTACAATTAAAGATACTGCATGCTGCAGCTAAGACTGATGCAGGCAAATAAATTAATTTTTTAAAAAATAAATTACCTTTCAGTGTTTTTGGAAGGCAGAAAACCAAATGGGTGTTTATATATAGACTTAAATAAGTGACTTACAGACTTTAGATTTCAGAGAATGGCCTGAGAAAATTTCCCTAGAAAATAATGATCTTTTATCCTTGATTTCCTCTTTTGTAGCTTTTTTTCTAGTTAGCTATTATCTCAAAGACCTCCATGAACATTAGGCTCACAATGATAGTTTCCTTCGGAAAGATTACTATGGATCTGTTTTCTGAGTGATGTCCTGGTATTCACTGTTTTTCTTTAGTAAAAAGGAAAGATAGCCAAACTTTTGTTCGAGGGGATTTATGTTTGCCTTCCTTTCACCATTGCTTGTTTCAAAGTTCAAATAAATGAAAGCAAGTAAAATGACTATTATGGTATCATTTTAATTTGGCAAAATTCACTGAGGCATAACGTTTTAGACAAAAGACATTAAAAATGATAGAGCTAGCTAGTGTCCCAGGGCAAGTTCAGTTATTCAGACTGGATTTCCAAGAGGTCTCTGAGACTTAAATTCTTCAGAGTGGAACTTCATTTGTACTAGAACATAAATATAGCACTTCATTACAAAAGACCCTAAAGCAGAGAGCACAGGGGGACTTTGCTGCCCTCTAGAGGTTCTTGTCACCAATCAAAGGGCTTTAAATCTGGCAACTTAGATTTGTGGGGGATGAGTTCTGTCAGTGTTTAAACTCCAAGCAAATAACAAAAACAAGGAACATAATATATTAAACTTTTTAGGTCAGCATGATCTTTTTAAAATTATTTTGCATCTCTCTGACTTGGTTGATCATTTTTTAGCTTTGTGGCATTTTGCTCTCTATCTATTCTCTCTCTTGTCTTACACCATCATTTCTTTCTATGCTCCTCAAATGATCAACTTTTCCTAAGATTGAAACTTAAGCCACCATTCTTCCATCCTGATCCCTCTCTAGTATCCCTTTTATAGGTCTCTTCTCCTCCTATAATATCAATTTCATATATATACATATAACTCTGAAGTTTGATTCTTTCTTGAATTCCAAAACCACATTTCCAACTGTCAGCTGAACATTTCCTTCACGATGTTCTGCCAGTACCTTACAAGATCTGTAACTCTGATTTGTATGTATTAGCAAAAAGGGCAGGGCAAAAAGTATGTTACTGTTTTAATATTTTATTCTCGTCAAAGAAATTTTCCAAACAAATTAGTTTGACACACTTTATGTTCTTTTTTATGGATGGTGTTTTATAAATTTTATTTCACGTATGTAAAACATCAGGATCAGTTTGTCATATTTTCACTGTCAAAACTAAGCAGTTAGATTTTTGCCTTCATCCCTCATGTTATTCCACCTCCCTCTCCACCCTCCCACCGCTATACGTAAGCACACAAAATTTAAATGCTATAATATGCATGAGGTTTGGGTTTTTCTTTGTTGCTACTGTTTCTGTTGGTAGTGGCTCAGTATATATTTATGAGGTAGAAGATAAAGCTTGTGTTACTTTCCTCTTTGCAGGTCTTCATGCCTTGCGGAGAGTCTTAAGGAAACAGCCTAACCTCCCTGACAGCAAGATGGCTGGATTGGTGAAGATTACTCTGAAAGATTTCTTGAAGGGGATGAATGACATCAGACCCAGTGCCATGAGGGAGGTAGCAGTCGATGTCCCAAATGTAAGTCATTTGACCCTCATGCTAGCCACACTGTTTGACTTAAACTGTGAAAGAAACTAAGACCCCAAGGAAACTACCTTCCTAAGCTAACCATTAAAAAATTTTTTTAATCAAAATTTTTATGGAGATAACTGTAGATTCAGTACAGTTCTAAGAACTACTTTAGGGAACTCCTGTGTAGCCTTTACCCATTTCCCTCAATGGTAGCATCTTGCAAACTATAGTACAATATCATAAGCAGGATATTAATAGAATCATGGATCTTTTTCAGATTTGCTCAGTGTTTCTTCTACTCATTTATGTGTATGTGTGTGTTTAGTTCTGTGCAGTTTTATTACATGTGAAGGTTTGTGTGTTTATCTCCAGAATCAAGATCCTGGGGAGTTCTGTCACCACAAGAATCCCTTGCTTTGCCTTTTCATAATCATACCCACCGTGTTCCTGCATCCATTTCTAAAATTCTGTCATTTCACAAATGTTATATAAATGGAATTATACAGTATGCAACTGTTTGGGATCAGTTTTTTTCACTTAGTATAATTCCCTGGAGATTCATTCAAGTTGTTATATATCAATAGTTTGTTCGTGTTTTGTGCTGAGTAGTATTGCATGATACATGTGTACAGTACTTTGTTTAACCATTCACCAGTTGAGGTACATCTGCATTGTTTCCAGTTTGGGGCTATGTGAATAAAGCTGCTGTGAACATTTTTCTACAGGTATTGTGTAAATGTAAGTTTTCATCTTTCTGGAACAAATCCCCAACAGTACAGTTACTGGGTTGTATACTAATTCCATGTTCACTTTTATAAGAAAATGTCAACTAGGCTAATTTTAGAACAACAAAAAATATCTTCTAGTTATGATACTTTCTACTAATGATGTTTGATGTTTCCTTGGGTTTCTTTACACATGCTTCAGCATTGACCATTTCTGCAAACTTTCAGTCAGATCACCACGAAGGCAGTAGAAGTTACCTCTTATTGCATGAATCACCTGTTATGTTATCTATGACACACATGGGCCTGATATTTGAGGGGGAAATGGCCTTATAGTTTTTTTTGAATGTACTAATATTTTGAGAAAATACTGAAACAAGCATTGGCAGTGTCTTCTGTATTATGTCAATGTGTATTTGGTTTGAAGTATCAAAAGAAGGCTATGATTTAAACTTATTTCACCATGGACCTTGTGGAGCAGAGACTTTCTGCATTTTGCAATGTAGATTGCCAAAAATGACCGCAAATTCTTCCCATCACTGTGTTTGCCCATTTTTACTGCACCCTGAAGTTTCTGCTGTAAAGACAAGGGAGTCAAGTTTTCTGTCCTTGAATCTGCACTTGGCAGTGTAACTTGCTTTGGCCAGTAGACTATTAGCAGCCATAATACAAGCAGGCTTGGAAGTGCATTGGGCTTGTCTTCACTTGCTGGTCTTTGACCCTGCATTAACTTTCTTAAATCTGTAGTAACTTCCCGGAGGATGAGAGACTGTGTGGAGCAGAGATGAAATATCCTCATTCCGGCTGAGATCCCCTCATTCTAGTCATCACCAGTTATTAGACATGTGATGCCATGCTAGACTATTGTACCCAGTTGAAGTTTGCCCCAACCAGAAGAAACCACCCAGTTAACACTCAGAATTGTCAAAAATAATTGTTTTGAGCCACTAAATTTTATGGTAGTTAGCAAAGGCTAAGTGAAGCAGGCACTTGTTTGATTTTTATAGAACACATTTGTTTTCAGCCTGGGAAATGATACCTTGGAGATAAGAACATTCCCATGAACTAGCTGCTATCAGGTTGATGCAAAAGTAATTGCGGTTTTTGTATTGGTGAACTTTGCTGTTTGATATTGGAATACATTCTTTAAATGTGGTTATGTTATACATCATTTTAATGCACATTTCTTAATTTTTTTTTGCTAATGAGTTATTACTTGCTGTTTATTTCATATTTATTTTAGACTATGGAAATGATGTTAGACAGAAAGCAAATTCCAGCAATTCTCTTATTCGAGTTCAACATGGGTCGTAAAATAGCGGAAGCAACTCGCACCGTCAGCAGTGCATTTGGCCCAGGAATTGCTAATGACCGTACAGTGTAGCAGTGGTTCAAGAAAATTTGCAAAGGAGACAAGAGCCTTAAAAATGAGGAGCATAGTGGTCAGCCATCAGGAATCACAATGACAAGTGAGAAACATTGTCAAAGCTGATCCTCTTACAGCTATGTAGGAAGTTGCCAAAGAACTCAACATCATCCATTCTACAGTTGTTTGGCATTTCAGGCAAATTGGAAAGGTGAAAAGTTCGATAAGTGGGTGCCTCATGAGCTGACTGAAAGTCAAAAAGATTGTTTTTTTGAAGTGTCGTCTACTTTTATCCTATGCAGCAACAACAGTGAGCCATTTCTCAATTGCATCGTGAAGTGCAATGAAAAGTAGATTTTATATGACAGCCAGCAACGACCAGCTCAGTGGTTGGACCAAGAAGAAGCTCCAACGCCAAACTTGCACCTAAAAAAGGTCATGGTCACTGTTTGGTGGTCTGCTGCCTGTTTGATCGACTACAGCTTTCTGAACCGTGGTGAAACCATTACACTGGAGAAGTATTCTCACCAAATGGATGATATATGCCAAAAGCTGCAATGCCTGCAGCCGGTATGGGTCAACAGAAAGGGTGCAATTCTTCTCCACTACAATGCCTGACTGCATGTCAGAGAACCAGTGCTTCAAAAGTTGAATGAATTGCCCTACAAAGTTTTGCCTACTCCACCATATATTCACCTGCTCTCTCGCCAACTGACTACTTCTTCAAGCATCTCTGCAACTTTTTGCAGGGAAATGTTTTCCAAGAGTTCATTGAATCTCAAAGCATGGAGTTTTACACTACAGAAATAAACTTAATAATATATTTCTCATTGGCAAAAATGTGTTGATGGTAATGGTTCCTATTTTGATTAATGGAGATGTGTTTGAGCCTAGTTATAAATGATTTTAATATTCATGGTCTGAAACCGCAATTACATTTGCACCAACTGATAGTTTAGGCTGCCTAATGTGATTGTGAATTCTTTTTGAAACATTTTCAGATTTATTATTGAAAGCTCATCTTTGGCTTTTTTTTCAGAAGCTTCATAGGATATACTAATTGAGTATGAATAATTTGACAAATGGAGTTATAGAATAAAGAATACTTGATGTTGAGTTAGTAGAAGCATTTCATTTCTTTGGAACTTATGGTCTAAAGTTTGGGGACATCAATTGATATGAATGCTTTTGTTTGCAGTATTTATATTTTATTGGTTACCATTGCATAATATGTCAGGTAGATGCCTAATCATCAAACACCATGTGTGAAGATTTCAGGAGATAGGGTTATAACCAACTATACCATCCCAAGACATTTTAGTGATTAAAAAAGTTTAGAAACTAAAGAAACATGTAGTAGGCTTTTAAACTTAGTTACTGCCAGTGGAGAATGTTTAAACAATGGCTGTCCACTCTTAGAATTGCTGAACTGATTAATTCATCACAGGAACTAGTACTACAACTGCATTTTTAATTGCTCTAATGTAAGAATTTTTTCCTTTATTTTCTTTTGATACAGTATTTACAATCCATGGATTTGTGCCATTTTCCATTTGGCATTTTATTATTTGGCCTAGAGCCATGGTGTATTATGATGTTACTCATGTGCTCCAGAGTGATTAGCCTTGGTCAGGGTACTTTGTTACAATTGTTTTTCATGCTCACTTCAGATGGTAAAAGTTTTCCTGAGAAGTCAACATTTCTATAACTGGATTCCTAAATTTGACTCTTCTGATTTCTGGCTATTACACCACAGAAATACCTACAAGTTATTTCTGCAGAAAGTTTAATACTTATTTTGCTATAGAAAACCTGTTTTTTTTTAGAAAACCTGTTTTAAGTAGCTCATTAAACTGCAAACTTTTTTTAAATAGTAAATTGAGTATTCAGCATCTTTTGAGAAAAGATTTTAGTTTGTGAAATCAAACCTTCTAAATCGTACTTGCTAAAGTTTGAAAGAAATGTCTTAGGGTGGGAATGTTGCCAGTTATAATGCATTATTAATTTCAGGAGAGCACAAGTGTTAGCCACTTACTTTAATGTTTCCTTTTTTTGGATATTCTGAGTTGGTGACTATAGCAATTGATGTATTAAAAGTCAAATGTATTTTACATTTAATTGATGATAAATGTCAAGTATATTTCTTTACTGTAGGGATTCTTAGAATCTTTGAATATTGCTAATATGCATTGTGAGATTTCAGTTTTTCACACAGATAACTGTTAATACTGTATTATAGTAGATTTTTTAGAAATTTATAGATACTTTTCTGTACATAGATTCTTTACCATCTGAGCCACCAGGGAAGAAGCCCTCTAACATAGTTAATATAAAATATAATATTTATATTCTGCTTTTTTCACCTAAAGTTATATGATAAACATTTTACTCTAAACTTCTTGACAAACATCTTTTTTGTTGACAGCTTAATAAACTATTATGTTGATAAACTGTAATTGTTTTATTTTTCTTTTATTCTCAAATATTAAGGGTTTTTTTCTGTTTTTTTTCTCTTATGTTTTATAAGCATATTTGTCCATTTTTTGATTCCCAGAAGTAGAATTACCAGACTTAAATATATGATTTTTAAAGTTTGTGACAAATATCATTAAGTTCTTTTTTTCCCCAGAGTGTTCTGATTTTTAATTATGTAATAACATATGTAAAATTATGAAGCGCTTAAAGAAAATCTCATTTTCACTTTAGTTCTTTTCTTTTTTTACTTTCCACTAGTGTGTTTTTTGACTGAAAAGTTCTTTTGCAAGGAATAATACTGGATAAGTTTTAGATGAATAGAGATTTTTAAAAGAGTGAAAAATATCTGTCAGTTGTATATCTTCTCCTTCCTATAAAACCGTTAAAAAGTTTTAGATACAGGGTATACATGGATGGTTTTTTAATGGATTTTAAGTTCC